AGGCTATGTTGCATTTCCTGACCTCCTGGGCTCAAGAAATCCTCCCACCTCAGCCTCCTGAGTAGCTGGGACCACAGGCATGTGTCATCATGGACAACTAATTTTTGTATTTTTGATAGAGACAGGGTTTTGCCATGTTGCCCAGGCTCATCTTGAACTCCTGAGCTCAAGTAATTCAGTCACCTCTGCCTCCCAAAGTGCTGGGATTATACAGCCATGAGCCACCATGCCCAGCCACTAACACTATTTTAAACTAAATGTGTGGTTCCAAATCTTAAAATATCAGGAACAGACAGGATGTATAAACTAAGTTACTTATTTATTTTGAGAGAAAATATTTATTCCATTGAGTTTTCCTATGCAAATTATTAAGCATGTGCAGAACTTCTTATAAAACGTTTAATACAGTTACACATTAAAGTATTATTGATTTATATTGGGTATGGAGGGACAGTCAGAAGGTAGAACGAGGGAGAATTCTTTAGGCTGGGCTGTGTAGCACATTGCAGGACAGCTTACTACATGCCAATCACCTGGACAACCAAAGATGCCCCCACAAATTTCCAAAACACTCTGTAACAGGCAGAATCAACCTTTCTGAGAAAAAGTGTTCTAATGCTGTTATGTTTTGAATGTTTTTGTCCCCTCCAAAAATTCATGTTGAAACTTACTCCCCAATGCAACAGTGTTAGGAAGCAGGGCCCTTTGGTGGGTTTTTGGTAGAGGCTTTTGGGAGATGTTTTAATTAAATAAGCAGAAAAATAAGAAATGGTGATCTCAATGAATTTCATTGAAAGTTTGCTTTATAAATATTTTGTATTATTGCCTTAAAAATTTTTGGAGTACAATCATATGAAATAGATTAATGCCACCATAGAAAGGCTTGTTGGAAGGAGATTATTCCCTTTTTGCCCTTCTACCTTCTGCGAAAGGAGGGCACAGCATTCCTACCCTCCAGAGGATTTGGTGCTCAAGATGCCATCTTGGAAGCAGAGAGCAGCCCTCACCAGATGCCAGCACCTCGATCTTGGACTTCCCAGCCTCCAGAACTATGAGAAATAAATTTCTCTTCTTTCTAAATTACCCAGTTTGTGGTATTCTGTTATCACAGCACAAACAACCTAAGACAAAAACCAAAATACTTAACAAATTTGATAATTTAAGTCCATTCATTGAATATTAGTCTTTAGATCAGCAAAGTAAAGAGAAGAGTGAACACAATTCCTGGCAGGATCTTGTTCCTCTTGAATTCTCCTTACACTGACAGTGACCCAGCTATAGTGCAAAGTCTGAACATGAGCTTCCCTCACTTACATACATCTTTTCCTTGGCTCCTCATCATGCCTAGGACATATTAATGTTTACATTTTTTGACTTAACATATGGGATCCCTGCAACTGTCTTTACAAGCTCTTCTCCAAATGCTCTCCACCTTCTCCCGAATGCTCAAGTACTAACCTGCTTGGAGCTACCTGTTCATCCCAGGTATTTCCTGACTCTGTGTTGCTGTACATATTGTTCCCTCAGTTGGCCATCTTATTTGTGTGGCTAATTCCCAGTTGCATTTCAAGATTCAGCTCCTGGGTCATCTCTGGGAAAGCCTGTCTCCTAGGAAGCCAAATCTGAGCCACCAAACGGGATGACATCAACTCCTCAACCTCTGTAGTTTTGCAGTACCCTGCACAGATATCCAGACACACTTTCCACAAGAATCAGAAGTGATCTCTGTTTTAATGTCTTTATCCCACTCTCTTGGTTCTGGAGTCTCTCACTATAAACTCTTCAAGGACATGAACACTATTCATTGATCTTTGTCTTTCCAGTAATAATTTGTTTAATGCTAATTTGAGTATCACAAGCATTAGGCTTTGCTGAACCCTGGACTGTACAGGAAACAGGAAACATTGGTTAGGAAGAGTGGATAAAAGAGAGGATCTAAATAACATTTTTTTTTCTGATGAAAAGGGTACATTTTAATAGTTAGCTTGAGAAATAACCTATTATTTTCATTTTTTTTTTTTGAGACGGAGTTTTCGCTCCTGTTACCCAGGCTGGAGTGCAATGGCACTATCTCGGCTCACTGCAACCTCCGCCTCCTGGGTTCAGGCAATTCTCCTGCCTCAGCCTCCCGAGTAGCTGGGATTACAGGCGCGTGCCACCATGCCCAGAGGCGGGTGGATCATGAGGTCAAGAGATTGAGACTATCCTGGTCAACATGGTGAAACCCCCTCTCTACTAAAAAAAATACAAAAAAATATATTATTTTCATTTTTGAATCAGATTAATCCAACACTCTCTGGGGTGTTCAGGTAAAATGCACCTTAAGAAGCAGTAAAGTGTCTGTGGGAGCATTCTGGGTAAAAAGTGTTTGCAGGTAGAAGTACGTATCAGATATGAATGCTCAACTTTTATGTTTGATACACAATAGATATTCCATTAATAAACATATAGCATTCAGTTAATATCATACAAACTGAAGAAAAAGTTGAAAAGCCTAGAACTCCTTTATTCTCTCTAGATCATCAGCCTGAATCATTAATTCAACAAGTATTTATTGAATGTCTACTACAAGTAAGGAAGTGTTCTAGAAGCTGGGGATATCCAGTGACCAACACAGATGACATCTCTAATTTCATGGATCTTTAGTGCATTTTGGGAAACAAACATTCACTAGTAATATGATGTAATTAGAGACATATAAGAGTATAATTATTACTATAAAATTTAAAAATGTTATGATAGAAAAATTAGTATAAGACTTGTATAATTCATATTTAAGAATTCAAGAATTTAAAATGATAATTATGTGTAATTATAACTAGTTTATATATAATTCATATATATCCATATTAATTTATATGTATTCATTTTACATATTTATAATTAAAGTATGATTATGATGTCTGGAGACACACCCACACTACCTTATATACCCAATCCACACTTCATTAAGTGAATTAAAATAATTGAATCTAGTAAAATTTATTTAACAAGTATCCCAAACACTTAATAGTATATAGCTCAACATGGGGAAAAAAATCACTTTAGTTGTCTTATCTAAACTTGACTCTCATGATACATTTTGAATGGTTCCAAATATTTTTCTGGGTTTGTGAAACTATATGCATTGGAGCTGGTGCTACAACTCAGAATTTTACCACATAAGAAATTACTATTAGGTTTTGGCAACATGACAACTTAAAATCATTTCTTCTTAGTAGCAAAATAAATAAATAAATTTAAAAAAAATAAAAGGAAAAGAAAAGAAAAAAATTCAAGGAGAGGAAGGGAAACCAAATTCCATCTCCTAAGGATATCCAATAACAGTTCTGCTGTTGAATTTCACTTTTAACAAAATATTAAATGTAATTAATCTTTTTTTTAACCTATGTGTCTTTTAGGTCACTGAAATGCAATTTTCAATAAGCAGAAATATATTGCAGTTAATAACTTTTATGTCAAAGAAAGAAAATCAGAATTTTTTTTCTGAAGTAAACTTTTCCTTGCATTATTTATTTTCTCTACATTAAGTGCCTCTTTGTTTCTTCACAGAACAAACTAAAAGAAAATTAAACAATGGGTACCAAAAGAAGGAGTTATTCAATAGTAATGAGTTTTCTCAAAAACAAATTGAGAAGTTGGATATTAAAGAATGAGAAGCCTCATATTTACAATTTTCAATGAATTAACATTTCTTAAATAGACAACTGCTCAGTGTATTTGCTATACACTAGGCTTTACCCTATCTATTCACAGGTGGAACACAAACTTGGTTGTTTTAGCTGATGCTTATTCACTGCCTTTTGAAACCTGTTTCAATATAAGGTATATAAGCTGTGATCTCATTATGTCAGCATCACAGTGATTTATTCACCCAGTCATCAAAATGCTTTTGAAGACATGTTTACCAATTTCATGACACAAAGGGAAAGGGAAATACGCTTTTAAAAGTCTGCATTGATAAGGTAGTTATTGAAAGGCAAAAATTTTAGATATTAAAGTTAGAAAAGGAGAGATGAGTTTTTTTTCACGTACAAATATAGCCAAGTATGATATGGTTCTATGGTACCAATGAAGTAGACTTGAATTTAGATGAATTATCCCATGGATTTAAATAGTTTATTAGAGAGACTCAAGTTTATTAGTAGCATTTGACACTAAAATCAGAAATATATCCAACAACACTAGGTTTACTTACAGAACTTTAAGACTGTAAAGGCCCGTGAATGCTCCCTTGGGAATGTATGTCAGAGCGTTTCCAGCAAGACGTCTGTGGGTGTCAATGGAGAAGAGAGAGAGTGAGCATACCTCTTCATGTGGAAGTCATTTAATTTAAAAAAATGCAATACAACTGTGTTTAAGCCACAACTATCAAAAGCAACTGTAAAGACCTTTGTTTTGTTATATTTTGCAAAAAATTTCTATAAATTTCTAATTTAAATGTTGGCAGAATTTCTTAAAAAGAAATGTAATAAATTACCTACATTACAACAAATGATTTAATAGCTTATACCATATGTACATATATATAAATCTGTCCTTTAAACAATTTTTAAACAAATGCTAACACCATATGATACTTTGCAAAAAATTGTAATGTCCAAATGTGACTGTCATGAGTTTCATGATTGTTTGTAAGCAAAAATGCATTAAACATTAAAATATTTATGTTGCAACTATGCCTCAAAATACTCAACTTTCTTATTAAATTTGTCAAGAACGTAGATTATCACAATCGACTTTTTCTAAACTCTATCAGAAAAGGATAGAGTAGCTTAATTTAACATGATTTAATAGAGCAATGCTTTAAAAAACTGAAAACAGATTAGTATGAAGGACATTAACATGGGTTATTTAATGGAAAGTTCTGACATTATTAACTGGTAAAATTTAGTTCAGTTTATAATATTTTTCTAAGTAGAAGATAGCCAGGTGAAAAATTGTGCAAATGATCAACAAGATGTGCTACCTGAAACATGTGATTCAATATTTTTTGGCAGCCACATCAAAGCCATAACCTCATGTGTTAAAGGATCATGTAAAAACAGCAATGTGACTCTGAAGAGCACAGTATTTTGAGGAGCTGATCATATCCTATAACGGTGAGTAGAACTGGGAGTCAAGATACCTTTGCCCTTTTTTTCCCTTTTTCTTTTTTAGAGATGGTTTATTGCCCAGGCTGGCCTTGAACTCCTAGGCTGAAGCAGTCCTCCTGCCTCAGCCTCCTGGGTAGCTGTAACTATAGAAGTGTGCCATAGTACCCAGCCCCTGCTTATTTTTGATGGAGATGAGGATTTGGGGATAAGGATTCGGTTGGTCCATTTTACTAGTGCTTATTTCTGAGGGACCTAACAGCCTCAAATTTCTACCTTTGATGCTGTCTTCAAAGGAGAGATAATTCAGTCACAGAGATTCACTGACTGGACTGAAATAAGCCATTTCTCATACTTTAAATATGTGTCCTGTTGCCAATTCACACCAATGACAATATGAATATTTAAAGTAAAGCTATACTTATATGAATAGAATGTCTGAGTAGTATTTGTGGTATGTGTATTTAAAGCATTATTTACTCTATGCAAATTAAATAAAATTACAATATACTTTTAAAAATTATGCTTAAAAAATTAATAACATTAGAAGGTCCTAGGATGTCTCCAAGAGGCTCCATTTATCCTGCATCTACAGCACTAACTTGCTTTGTGCTGTTGAATAAGTTAGTTGGTATTTCTGAGCTTTGTTTTCCCACTAATTACACGAAATGTTAAGATAAAATGGCTTCCTGGGTCCCTTCCAGATCCCAAACTCCATGATATCCCTATCCTGTCTTGTGGTCGTTTGTGTTTGTGCCAGTTTTTCCTTCTCTTAACAGAGATAATCTTTTAAAAGACTTGGATACCTCTTATACTGTATCCCTCCTACCTATCTCATGGTACCTAAAGAAGTGTTTTTTCAAGTGAAAAACACTTATTGTAGATCAGTGGCCTGGTCTACAATTAAGAAAAAACAAATAGAGTAGACAAACAGTAGAATGAATTGGCTGAAGTATTGTTTTATAAAAATCTTTGTTTCCTAATATATTTGTGAAAATGGATTGAGGGGAGGAAGTTTGTTTCTTCCTACACATGGTCAGAAAGGTTTGAGAGCTGCTAGCTTCAGCCTGGTGTAGGCACTTAATAAATATATGTTATTAACATGTAATTCAACATGATATTTGACCAGGGTAACTTAAGAGGTGTTTTTTTTAAAATTTCCTATAAAACTGTCTTCAGAAAACCCTCTTTAGACACTAACTCTGAGCTTCTTCCATCTCATCTCCCCATATTTAGTCTCTACCTACTCCCATCAATTCTGTATTCACTGATGGTCTTTATAAAGCCAACTCTGACCATATTACTGCCCTGTTCAAAAACCCTGTCAGTTCCCATGCCAGGTAAATAGAAATAAAAAGTCCTCAGAATCTTCTCCAATAAGTCTCTAATTCCTACTGGATGCTAGAACTGAACCAATAAATGAGGTTTGCTTTTTAAGACATGCCTCCACATTTTCCCCTCTAGCCCTTTGTTCCACCTAAAATCTCCTTTCTCCCCGTTTCTTAAAGCAACCTCAGTGCTACCAAAGGACTTCAAAGTAGAAAGACTACCCATGAGTTTGGAAAGGATTTGGAAAGCTCAGTTTCTGATGGTCAGTCTCTCTACTTTCAACTCCTTTAGTAGCACTTTGTGTCTTGCTATGGATTTTATATCTACTTTGTGTTATAGTGTGTACCTGTCTTATGACACATGAAAGACTGGGAACTCCTTGAACCTGGGTATTCTCTTGGTATCCACATAGGATCTTGAATACTGTCTGATAGTAGGTTGTCTCAGTACTGCCTGACTAACCAGTTGAGTAGAGACTACTGGCTGTCCCCCAGTATCCATTCTACCCTTGTAGAATAATTCCCCCATCCAGAATTTTAGCCGATTACATGGCCAGGTGGAGTCTGATTTTCCAGTCTTCCTTGCAGCTGAACGTGATGATGTGACTAAACTCAGCTGTGATCAAAAGTGATACGTGAAACACCGGTATCACCTCCTTAACAAGACATTGCTTGTTCTCAATTTCTTTAATTTCCCCTTCCTGTAGAAGTAGAACTGCTGAGACGTCATCAACAATTCTCGTGTGGAGAACCTTCCACAGAAGGCAAAACAAGAACAACAAAAAAACCAGAAGGAGACTGGGCTCCTGGATGACCCTGTGGAACTGAGCTGTTCCAAAGCCCCGAAGTCTGTTTTGGATGAATAACTGAATCAGGAGAACGCCTGTGGTATCCTCTGAAGGATCGAAGGATTATTTAGTTGTTGGGGCTGGTAAACCTCCACTGCACTGCTGGAGAGAAAGGTAAGGGGTTTCATACTTGCCTAGATATTGGCCCCAGTGCATCATTTTGCAGAGCTGTTCTGATCTACAATATTCTCTGTCTCTCTGCTTTATTCCCTTTTCATCTTCCTATTGTTAGCTTGCAATTGGTGCACCTGAACTATCACAGACATCGAATGTTGCTAGTTTCCCAACTAAGTTGGGAAGAAATGTTATCATTCTTTGAAGCTATCTTTTTTTTCTGATATTGGCTATGCATATTTTTATTGTGGTAAAATATATATGAAATAATATCATTTCGAACATTTGTATGTGTAGATTCAGTAGCATTATATATATTCACAATGTTATCTAACCAACACCACTATGTACACCCAAATTTTTTATTATCCCCAACAAAAACTCTATACCTGATTAGCAATATCCCACCCTTCCCCTTATTCTCAGCCCCTGGTAATTTCTATTCTATATCCTGTCTCTATGAACTTGCTTTTTCTAGTCTCATATAAGTAGAATGATATAATGTTTTCCTTTTGTATCTGACTTATTTCACTAAGCATAATATTTTCTGTGTCCAACCATGTTACATCATATATCAAAATAGCATTCCTTTTTGTGAAAGAATAATGTATCATTGTACATATATACTGCATTTTGTTTAGCCCTTCATCTGTTAATTGAAAGCTGTATTATTTCCATCTTTTGGCTCTTGTGGACAGTGATGCTATGAATATTGGTGTACAAATATCTGTTTGAGTCCCTGGATTCTATTCCTTTGGGTATACATCTAGTAGTGGAATTCTTGGGTCAAATGGTGGTGCTATGCATTGGAAAAATGATTGCACCTTTATATATTCCTACCAACAGTGCATCAGGGTGATAATTCCTCCACATCTGAAGCTATCTTTTTATATCCCATAGTATTTATTGAGGGCCTGCTGTGTGCTGGTGCCACTTTTATCATTTATTTATTATTTTTTGAAACAGGTCTCACTGTCGCCCAAGCTAGAGTGCAGTGGCTAAAGTTTGTTTCACTGCAACCTTGCCTCCCAAGCTCAAGTGATCTTCTGCCTCAGCCTCCCAAGTAGCCGGGACTACAGGCATGTGACACCATGCCCAGCTAATTTTTGTTTTATTACTATTTTTTTTTGTAGAGGCAGGGTTTTGCCATGTTACCTAGGCTGGTCTCAAATTCTTGAACTCAAGCGATACACTTCCTTGGCCTCCCAAAGTGTTAGGATTACAGGTACAAGCCACCATGCCTGGCCTTGTGCTGGTACCACTTTAGGTGCCAGTGATACAGCAGTGAATACCAGGATAAAGCCCCTGACGTCATGGAACTGGTATTCTAATGTGGCAAGATAGTCATTAAATAAAAGTCAAGTGAATAATATAACATGAAAAATGCTCTGTATAAAGCAAAATCAAGGCAAAGGGATAGAGAGCACTGGGTGGTGGTGGTGGGTGAGAGACTAGTATTTCAGATAAGATGGTCAGAACAATCTCTCCACTGAGTGGGCATTTCAGCATATGCCTGCACCATGTGGGTATCGATATAAAGACAACAGTGGAACAAAATTCCTGAGTCAGAGTGTGACTGGTGTGGTCCAGAAGCTGCAAGGAGGTGAGCATGGCTGGAGTGGAATGACTGGAGGAGGATGGCAGGAGGTAAGGTTGGAGAGGTGTCTAGGGCCATCCCACAAAGGTCTTTGGAAGGACTTCAAATTAGAGAGTAATGTGATCAGATCTGTGCTTTAGAAATGTCCTTCTGATGGGACACTTTTGTATATATATTTATTTAACTTTTAAGTCTGGGGTACAAATGCAGGTTTGTTATATAGGCAAACTTGCGTGTGTCACAGGGTTTGTTGTACAGGTTATTTCATCACCCAGGTATTAAGCCTAGTACCCATTAGTTATTTTTCCTGATCCTTTGCCTCCTCCCATCCTCTGATAGGCCCCAGTGTGTGTTGTTTTTCTCTGTATGTCCACGTGTTCTCATCATTTAGCTCCCACTTATAAGCAAGAGTATGTGGTACCTGGTTTTCTGTTCCTGTGTTAGTTTGCTAAGGATAATGGCCTCCATCCAGCTCTATTCATATTCCTGCAAAGGACATAATCTTGTTCTTTGGCTGAATAGTATTCCATGGTGTGTATGTACCACATTTTCTTTATCCAGTCTACCACTGATTGATTTCATGTTTTTGGTATTGTGCATAGTGCTGCAATGAGCATATGCATTCATGTGTCTTTATAATAGAATAATTTATATTCCTTTGGGTATATACTCACTAATGGATTGCTGGGTCTAATGGTAGTTCTGTTTTTAGGTCTTTGAGAAATAGCCACAGTCTTCACAATGGTTGAACTAATTTTCACTCCCACCAACAGTGTATAAGCATTCCTTTTTCTCCATGATCTTGACAGCATCTGTTATTTTTTGACTTTTTAATTATAGGCTTTCTGACTGGTGTGAGACGGTATCTCTTTGTGGTTTTGATTTGCAGTTTTCTAATGATCAGTAATGTTGAGCTTTTTTTTTTTTATATACTTGTTGGCTGCATGTATGTCTTCTTTTGAAAAGGGTCTGTTTGCCCACTTTTAAATCATTTATTTTTTTTCTTGTAAATTTGTTTAAGTTCCTTGTAGATGCTGGATATTAGATCTTTGTCAGATACATTATTTGCCAAAATTTTCAATGAGACCCTTTTAAAGGGGAGAATAGACCATGGGGTCAAGAGTGGAAGCACAAAAGGGACTAAAGTCTTCAGATGGGAGATGGTGGCATAGTATAGCAGTGGCAGAGGTGGCATGAAGTGGTGGGATTTAGTGAGGAAGAAAAATCCAACTTGATCAACCACTAGGGTCAAGGTGGAAGGTAGGCAGTCAAAGAGGAGCAACATTTTACACTTACAGTTACTTTATGTGTAATCCACATGCATTTGAATACTTATCCAAACTGCTATGTATAAAACTGAAGCAAATGAATTGGGCATGATTTGATATAAAAAAGTTGCTCTTTGAATTAAGACAGACTCAGGTTTGGTTGACCATTACAGACAGCTTAATTGATTAGACTCAACGGACTTGTAACTGTTATTTTGGTCAAAATGTCCCTAACTATCCTGTTTACAGTCATGACTTCAACAGTGCATTTCTGAGCTCTAAAACATAGCCTTCAGCTAGGCGTTTATCAGCTCTCACTGCTGTGACAGTCTCATCAAGTAGCTAGATGGTTTTTTGAAACAGTGATTTTGGAAATAAAAAGGAGAAAGTAAAAACTTTATTTTTAAAAAATTAGTTTAAATTTGTGTTAGGGTGAATGCCTTTCTGTTACATTTCCTGAAACTCACTTCATACAAATGGTTTTTCTTTTTTGGGCAGGGACTTTTGGTCCACTGAGTCTATATTCAGAACTAACCTGTGGAACCACTGCTCTGTGTTATCAGGGCAGTCTGTCTTAAAGCAAAGGAATTTATGATCTGCTATTCGCTGTTTGTTGGGCTAGTGGCAGATCTGTCTCATTGACAACAACAGCAATTTAAGGAAATCATTCCCCCTTTATTTCTTTACCATGTTGGGTGGCTTTAGTACTTTTAAAATGGAAATGCATACAAACATAGGAATAAAGCAGGCTTTCAAATGTGTTCACGATATACAAATAGTAAGAAACACAAACATCTTTCTTGTGATGATTTGAACTAACGGTTTGCTAAGCAACTGTTTTCCAGTCCTTGAGAGCAACATAACATTTGGTCAGAAGTTTTTTTTTTTTTTTTTAAATGCTGTTTCTAAAATTACATGGGAATATCTCTTTCATCATCTTCACTTCTGTAATAAGATATAACTCAATTAAAAAACTTGTCTTTCTACATTAAATATTTTAAGAAGTTTTTATCCCTTAAGTCACTGCTCCATATATGACTCATACTGTCCTACCATTGTTAGTTTTACTGACTTAATTGCTATTAAAAGAAAAAAAACCATTAAGTTACAATAGACACATTCCTATTCCAATAAATCAAACAGGTAGATGTTTTGGTACTGTAAAAATCATCGACAGTATTTTGGAGAATGTACATTTTTCTTTGAATTGCTAAAGTAATTTGAATCTTTAAAGTAATCTAAAGGATTTTATTTTCTATTTTGTAGCTTTCTTTTGTAAAATGGAGGGATGAGAGCAAAGCAACCATATGTAGGTCTAATTTTTCCTCTCTAGATATTGGCATGGAAAGGGAACGGTATGTGTACAAGATAGGGGGAGTACTGAGGATGGAAGGGGGCATTTGACTTTGCATTTGAGACCCTTGGGAAATTATTGTGCAAGAACTATGGTCCGACATGGGTCCACTTGGCTGAGTAGCATTTTCAGAGCTAAGCCAGAGGGCCTGGCTAGATCTGTCAGGCCTCCTGGGTCAGTTCTTCCATGAATTTCCTCTTGACTTCTAATTTATTTTTTTTCTTTCCTTTTTGATTTTCTTTCCTCTCACCATTAACTTGCTGTGAGACAACACAAGTTACTTTCCCTGGTCCTCATTTCCCTTACATTAAAAAAAAAAAAAAAAAATGAATGAAAGTGATCTTTCATGAAGGTATTTTTCTACCCTCAATTAAAAAAAAATTACACTTGCATTTCCTACTGTTATTTTTTCCTCTCTCATTCTCCTCTTCCTTCTTTTTCCTTCTTCTGGTTTATTGTAAGATTACTTTATTAAAAACATGTCATTAACATTGTAAAAAGCACTTTCTCATAATTTATATTGTGGAGGCTGGTCAGGGATTATTATTGTCCATATTTTGTAGATGAAGACACCAAAGCTCTGAAAGGTTTTATGTAAAGTAGAAAACATTGTCACTTTTCTTATTATTTAAAGAGTAGTCTAGTCTTCTTATGAGCATGGAAGCTATGTAATAACAGTGCTACTTAAATAATCAGAGTAGAATGAACTTGAACATGATAATTCTTAGGATTTAAAAGAAAAACATTTCATCAGACTACTTAATAAATTCATGCTGACTCC